CACCCCCCCCCCCCTTGTGCCCACTCCCTCTATATCCGCCGTATCTTTTCTCCATCTTTTACTCCTCCAAAAGTTGCTTTTGAGTCTTTCAAAGAGCGCCGTGCCATTGAGCGGCAACAAAAGCCAAGGATAGCTGACTATTGGGCCCTGATGAGGTCCACTCCCTCATTACCCAGCAGCAGAAAACATTTGATGCTTCTTTTTATTTTTTTTTTACCTCGGAGAGAATTGACCAGGCCTCAAAGAAATGTGGGGTGGGAAGGCTGAAAAAGAGACGAGGGAGGGAAGGGAGGGCGACTGAGGTGGTGGGGTCTTAGGACGGGAGAGGGGAGGGGGCTGTCGCTCATTCAAGCGTGTGTGTCTTACAGCCTTGTGTGCAGGCATGGAAAAGAAAAGAGGGGAGGCAGGGATAGAGGGGTCGAGAGAGAGAAAGCTTAAAACACTGCCTTTATGCTGGCAAGTTCTGGACGACTCTTGTGACATCAAAGTGTTTTCACTAACTACTGCAACGGGTGAGAGTGAGTCGAGGGGCGGGGGTGGTATCTAGTGATTTTATTCATTCTTACGCGGTCGGGGGGTGAGTTGGGCAAGGGGAGGGTGGTGGGGGGGTGCTTTGTGACAATGCGAACACCCTAATTACACCTAATGATCTATTCCCTTAAAAAGTGACCGCCTTGGGCCAGCCGCGGTTTGTTCCGCGGGGTCGTTCTCACAACCTCCTCCTGCCTCTGGCTGCCCCTCTTGGGGAAACATCTTTTGAGGCCAATAGGCCCCACCTTTTGGGATCAGGGACCCCCCCCCACCCCTCCCCACACTTTACACACAGGACCCCCCACTCTCAAAGCGCTTTGGCACAGCGGCGAGGCCCAAAAAGCAAACCACTAAAAAAAAAAAAAAAAAAAAAGGGATGGAAAGAAACCAGTCCAAAAGGCTAGACGTAATTCCTGCACCTGGCCACTAGGGGGCACACGTGCAAATGCGATTTTCCAAAAAGTTTCCTCAACTCTGCGTATGTTTCGGGCCCAATGGGGCCAATACAAACGTCAGAAATAAATTTGATGAAATCAACATATTCTTTTATAATATTTTATCTTCAGTATTTTGACTTTTACCCACTTAGATTGATCATTGCTCTTTTTGACATCATCTAAAGACATTGAGAAAAACTAATTTGCTGGAAAAAAAAAAAATCAAGAGGTGACAGAATATTTCAATTAAATGTTGCCTTCAGAAGACGATCACCTGCTTCCCAAGTACACGCACGCGTAAACATAAAACATAAGTGTGCCGAGCGCACAAGAGGAAAAAAAAAGACTCGAACCAAGGTAACCGAATCAGTTATGACTAAGTAGATTAGCGTCCTCACACTCCCCGAGGAGGACGATTGATTCATCTTCATTCCATTATTTGCCACTTATTTCAGACCGCATTATGAAAGCCCGACAGAAGTACGCCGCGTGCCTCTGCAAACCCGCCGACAATGTCAGTCATCCAAAATCTGAACGATTATTTGATTTGAATCCTCTTCACGAGTGGTCCTTCTGTCCAAGGCCTCTGCTGGAGGGCCGTAACCTTCTGCTTTTCTTCCTTATGTATTATTTCTTCTTTTTTTTTTTGCAGAATGCACCGCCATCGTTTAACAATGGGAAAAAAAAAAGTTGAAAACAACGGGAAATCCAAATAGACTTAAAAGTAGCTTCAGGGTTGTTGTCATGTTGCCCCGCCCCTCTCACGCCACGACCACGACCCCAAAAATAGACGCACACATACAAAGCATTATGTGCTGGAAAATACAGAGGCCTGACCTTGAGTAACAGCGGCGAGGGAACAGGATAGTGACAGAATAAAGAGCGGGATAAAAGGTTAGCGTGAGCATGGGCAATGAAAAGTAGAGTGGAGAGCGAGGACAGTTTTGGGAGCTCGTCCGCCTTAATTACATTACTCGCGGTGTCCATTAATAAAAAGCCCTTAAACCCTGGATTTTACACAACTCTGAGCTTTGCCTTGCTGACAAAGGAAGAGAGGACGAAAACAACTGATTAGATTTAATGCGGCACAAAGGATGAGACAAATATTGGAGGGGGGTGGGGGGGGTGTGTGTACACAATGCCTCAAAAGGCACACAAGCCTCATGAAGTCTGATGTCAGCAAAACTTTTCCCACCATTAAATTTGCCCTCGAACCTTTACAACTCAACTGAAATGTTTGAAAAATATTTATTGACTAAAAACCAAACAAACGGCGATAAAGTGGTTGCACAACTGAGCACGCCCTCAGAACCAGAGCGTGACTGTCTTCAGAATTAACCAATCCCATTTAAAGTCGGCGTTTCCTGACGTTTGTTTTGCTTTCTTGCAGAAGCCCGAAGGTGTTTGTGCGACCAGTGACTGCTCGTTGGAAGCGTTCGGAATTTCTGGCGGAGGTTCCCGGCTACAGCTGAAGAAAAAGATTGTCAAAGCAGGATGCTGTTGCCGCCAAGCTTCACTGTAGGTATGGCGTTCCGTTGATGAGCAGTGTTGTGTCTGTGCCAAGGTTATTATAGTTCATGAAAAGAAATGCATTTACGAAAATTTGGAAAAATATTGTCGTGAAAGAGAAAAAAAAAAGTCATGAACTACAATTTACATTGAGAAAATGAGAACTAGAATGATTGCGAAACGGTTCTTTGTTTTCAATCTATCCATCATCCATTCTTTTTTAAAAAATGGAAAAAAAAAACCCAAAAATGAAAACTAATAAAAACTTTACTAAAACAAAGCTTTGTTGAGAAAATAAAAAAAACTAACTTGCTTTAAAATCAATTAAAAGTAATTGAATTTGAAAATCTGAACAAAACAAAAAATAACGATCGTACAAAAAAAATGCCTTCAAACCAAACATACCTTTTGGAATTATAGCCCAATAATTTCGACCTTGCTTCTTCGGACCAGAACAAAATCATCCAACCAACATTAAACCGTCACTGAAAGTCACGCAGACTCAATAAATATTTTATGACGGCTTGGTCCCAATTTACATAATTTCCTATATGGTTGATTTGCATTGCATAAAATTTGGGGGGATTCCACTGTCCACTAAAAAGCGGGAAGAGGCCAGGAATGTTGTCACGCTGCAGAGGAAACAAGTGGTAGAAAAAAAAGGGTGTGCGTGTGTGTGTGGGGGGGGGGGGGTTCCATCTAATCAGGAGTCAATAGTTCAATAAAGACGTCAACCCAAGCGGACAGAAGCGCTGGATTAACCCCCCTTCACTTCAGCCCAGGTGACAGGGTGGAAATGTCACCGGCTAACCCCCCCCCCCCCCCCCCCCCCCCCCCAGCCCGCCCGCCCCCCCCAAAAAAAAAAACTTTGAAACCATCATTCACCCTCTCGCCGCCTATTGAAACACAATCATGCACGCACATACAAGAGTGAGTTGCATCGAGGAGGAGGGTCCACACCCGCGGTCCCTTCCAGCATTAATTCAATCCATTGAGTGTCAGCTAGTTAGCGGGGTGACCCTGCTCAAAACACGCTTTAACTCTCCGCGGCGGAACGCCACAGAGGAAAGACGTGAACCCGCCGAAAAAGGCCCCGACCCCGAAAACCAGATGGCCTCACAAAAGGAAACATGGAAGTCTGAAAGACGGGAGGTAGCGCGACAACAGGCATTCAGGGCCATGATGAGGGTGGATTAAAAAGGGCAAGGGTGATGCTCGGCGGCCGGATGGGCAGCATGTGGACTCCTCAAGTTAGTGGAGTGGGAGATGCTTAGAGTTTTTGCCTTCAACGACATCTCAAATCGAAAAAAAAAAAAAATCATGCATGTTTTTGGAATGTGGTAGGAAACCGGAGTACCCGGAGAAAACCCACGCAAGGATGGAGGAGGGCATGCAAACTCCACACAGGGAGGCCGCAGCTGGAATCCAACCCTGCACCTCTGCGCTGTGAGGCCGACGCGCTAACCAGTTGACCACCGGGCGTCGTGGGTGAGACACTAATACCCGAATACTGTTTTGGACAAAATGCCAGCAAAAGGTGCGAGAATGCCGCCATCAGCTGCCACAAAATGCATCATCACAAATGATTGCGCAGCTAATTTGTGATCACAATCACTCCAAAACAAATGAATGTTCATCTGAGGCGCACGGTGGTGATCATGGCGCTGGCGACTTCACATCATTCGCCGCGTCTTCCCCTCTAAGCCCACCTCCCTTTCCTTCCGAAATGCAATCAAATCTCCGTGGGTCACTCAGCTCGTTCGCCTTTTTTTTTTCCCCCCCGCCGTCCGTGTTACCTGTTCTCGCTCTCCCTCCTCTACTACTCTCCCACTTTCCTGGGCGAATCTTTCAGGCTACTCTGATCAAAGACAGCTTTGTGACACCGTGTGAGAGGCATCCCGGAGAGCAGACCACATCAAACCGCTAAAGAGCAACTTGCAAAACGCAGGCAGCGCATGCGTGCGCGCGCTCGCATGTGTGATGAACAAATGAATATATTAGTCGCACAAAAGCAGGATGTGACTTTGTCTCTACCTTCAGCATGTCGATGAAAGGTAGAAAGGTGTCCCTCTGAAGTCCGTTTTTGTACAGATCTGAAAGAGGAGGGGAGGGCCTGTATTAGAGGTGCTGTTTAGCCTCCTAATAATGTCATTCCCTCGCCACAGATTGGCACATAAAGTGGCTATTGATGAACTGAAGGATGAGGTTGGGGAGGTATGACAAAAGAGACTGGACCGGGAGAAGGGGAGGAGTGGCGGGGGTGGTGGTTGGGAAATGGATTTCTCTACCGGCCGAGCGGCGGCGGCGACATAAAATTCATTACATTCCCAAACAATGGTGGCGAGAGAAAGGACTGTCGCCTTTTCAGGGCGGACAATATCCACAGCGGCTCGCTGAATGGGGGTTTCAATTAGCTCGGCTGAAACAAATTACATCTGAAGTAGCATCCCTGATAGACAGATAAAACAGGTCGGGATTCACACACAAATCCGGGACAAAGGCGGACGGCGTACGTGTGAGCCCTCCAGCTGCGAAGGCAGCGCAACTGGTTGTTGTTGATGTTTGGGCTTTAACTCACAACAATAGCGCCGGGCTCTCTCGAGTTCCAACTTCTTTCTATACCGTGATGGACCCGCACCGGCGTCATTAAAAAGTGCCTTTAGGGAGTGGTTGTTTACTTTTCGGACTCTGCTCACGTCGCCGTCGATAAGTGGAAGCTAATATAGTCAATTACAGAATCGAACGCAACAAGTTGAGTCAGAGTGGCCAATGATGGAGAATTAAGTACCGCAAGGGCAGGCGAAGATTTGAACCCTTTCGTGCGGCCCGATACCATGATCGGCTGTCCACTGTAGTTACCGCTGTCCCCCGAAAGGGTTCATGATCAACTGGCAGTTATTTAAGTTTGTTTCATTATTTATCAACGTGTACAGCGGACCCCCTCCCGCCTCCCCGTCAATCGTTGGGGGCCAGCCTGCGGTTAGCAAAATCCATGAAGAATTTACAACCACGATAAAAAATATTTTTCCAAACCAAAAGGATTCTTTTTTAAAAATGGGGGGAAAAACCGCCAGCCGAAAGTGTTTTCCACAAAAATAAAATAAAAATAAATAAAAACGCAGGCGTTGGTTCCCCCCACCCTCCTCTATATATAAAAAAAAATAAATCTGCAAACAGGCTTAGTCAACGTACGTTGATTCCCCCCACACTCCTCTACATCTAAAAAAAATAAATCTGCAAACAGGCTTAGTCAACGTTCACAATTCACTTATTCACATTTTTTGGCCGAACAAATGCTCATCCTTTTTTAGCTGAAAAAAACTCACCTATTAGCATATGCAGATGCAACAAGATAGCGCCAAAGGCCTGGCTTATGGCAAAGTAGTCATTTGTGTCCATTGAAGTGATGCATTTCGACTGGTAAAATAACGTGAATGGCATGTTAGGGAGGAGCAAAATTTCGCCTGGGTTATTGGTGGAATTTACGATGAGTCTTCAGCATGATGTCCACGTACTTGCATGCGTGAAGTTTCAACCAAAAAGCAATTCGAGGCCTTTCATGTCAGTGACAAACGAGAGCCAGCGCTGCGTTGGGTTTCCGCAACCAAAAGACGCAATTTATACCACCACAGCTTATTGCTTGCATGAGTCTCCATTAGTCTCTATAATAAAATAAAAACAAAACAGAAATCTTTCCGTGCTCTCACTCTCAGCTATCACCAAAGACACGGAGGGGCCTTTTGATAGCGCCATCTCCACATCAATAAAGACGGCAAATGTATGCCTTTCATGTCCCGTTTTTTCCTCTGTCTGCCGTCAGGTATTCCATTAACGGCGCAATTAATACCAAGTAGGCGCTCTATTAAGTTTGCACCGTCGGGTCGCTTTGTTCTTAATAGCTTGTAAATATCAGCGATGTTTGAATCTGTGTCTATCTACATCTTGTTCCGTTCGAAACATCCTCTTGAAAGTGTTATTATTGAGCGCCTCGATTAGAAGGCTGAACGGTAAACGGAGCTGGTTCTGCGTTTTAAATCTTAGGTTTGTCGACTAAATCTTGTCATCAGTTCACTCTTGCCATGGAGCAATGAGCATTTTTGCATTCTAAAGTGGATCCGTTGATTTTTTAAAAATTTTTTTTTGGTCCCATCCAGGATCCAGATGAAGTGGTTGCCGCAATTGGAGTGTGATTGACGGACAGCGGTCACTACAGTGGACAGCTCATCATGTTATCAGGTGACAAGGGTTAAAGTCCGAATGCTGTTCTTCGGGGGCCAGATCCGGCCCCGCCACATCATTTACTGTGGCCCGCCAAATCAATTCATGCATCAACTTCTGTGATCCTTGCTAAAGTCTGGAGCAAAATGTCAAATTGTGATTGTGGGATGAATAACGTTTTCCAATCGTTTTGTTACCCTGTTTACACTCACTTGAACAATAATCAAACAAACAGCTGTTTTTAAGACGCGTCACAAGGAAGCAGTGACAGGTTCGACGAAGGTTGAAGTGACAGCCGAAACCGTCAGCTCGGTAAGAGTTTTTTTTCTCTTCAACAAAATAGACCATTGTCTGGGAAAAAAAAGAAACTTTGACACCCTTGTCCTAGAATATTAGAATCCCCCCCCCACCTAAAAAAAAGTTGGTTTTCATATGATTACACTACAGCACAGCGGACTTGTGACTAAATCCTGAGCAAAAGTGTTTGATGTTCAGACATATTGTACCATCGGGAGGTCTGTTGGACGTGGCCACCACCACCACTCCGGTCTTAAACAACGTCTGGAAAAGCTGCCTCAGGATCACTGCATCGGCGATGTCCGTCACCTGATGATAAAAGGTCATCAAAGGTCAAGAAGATCACATATTGATTGACGTCGGTCCGAGCAAGTCATCGACACTCCACGTTGATTAGTGTCATTCAGGTGGGCTTATTGAGGGCTTTTGTCTGTGTGTGTGCGTGTGCGTGTGTGTCCCACTTTTTCTTCCACGCCGTTTCCACCGTAAGCAAAGGTCGATGACAACGGTGAAACAAGGCCGCTTGCGAGTTGCGGGCTATTATGTGAAGGGCTCCGACCTTTCAATCAACATTGCAGGGCTCTCACTTTTGTTCTTAATCCCCTTGTCTCTATTTTTCACCTCCGCGGAACCAACGCGGAGAGAGAAACCGCTTTACGGCCGTCACGCGTACTCGCCGCGCGGTGTCTATTTACCCGCCTGATTGAGGAGGTCAGCATCTGAAATAATTCTTACAAGAAAAAAAAAAAAAGTACTTTCGATCAAACTTACCGCAAGTTCTTTTTGAAATGATCTTTTGGTTGAGCTTCCCTTTCTTTTCGGTCTAAAGTAGCTATAGAAAGCGCCCACACTAGTTTTAGAAAAGGCTTGTAAAAAAAAAAATAATAATAATTATGACAAAGACCATAACAAATAATTTACAAAATGATCACGGTATTGTAAATGTTAAACTTGTTATTAAATAAGCTGTGAAAAAAAAAAAACTTGCCAAAACTCAATTATTTGCTTCAGATTTTTGCGATCAGATTTTAGAGCAGGTTTGTTCATTTTTAATGTATTGTTTTTTTCAAAGATGCATTGTTTTTAATTTAGTTTTTCTTACATTTAGTGTTTGTTTTAGCTTTTACATGGATATACTTTATATTCAGTGTATGTCGAGTGCTTGATTAAAAAAAAAAAAGTCACAAAATATTGTGTAACGAACTAAAATAAAATTTTAATTCTCAAATAATTCCTCTGGATGGACATAAAGCAATAGCGAATTTAAAAATAAATAAACAAATAAACCTTGAAAGTTCATTGTGATATTAATAGTCAAAGGCCAAAACACAGGACATTTTCCCCTAAAATATAGTTTATTTTATAAAAGTAAAATGTAGTTTCAGCTAGTTTAAATGTTTTCAAAAGCTTTTGACATTTTATTTTATTTCAGGAAAATCTTTTTTAAAAGTGAGTTATTTCGTTCGCTTCCGTTCAACCTTGGTCTCCAGCCAATCTCAGGGTTGCATGTTGCTAAACAACCCAATCCGTTCATCCGTTCACGAACCCTCCTCAACAAAACCATCAACACAAATATTAGTTTTGGGAATGCGGTCGGTGGTATCGCTTCCTCAAACCCGACCTGTGTTCTGCGCCGCAAAAAAACGGTTCGCAACCGGCGACAGCACCGATTTCAAATGACTGCTTCACAGACACAAGTTTGCAGTTTGAAGTCAAGTTTTTTTGGAATCAAACATTCAACTCTGCCGTCTTGAATCAAAGTCTCGCCCCCCCCCTCCACTTTGCTCTCTTTGACAGGCACTTGTCGTGGCCTTACCCACAGCATATGTCTCCCCCTTTCATAACCTGGAGAGTCTCCTGCTTCTGGTGTATTAGCCCCACTGCCCTTGCCAATACTTGATTAGCATGCGTGTTCAAGCCTTGATTTGGCTAAGGAGAGGTGCCCGGGGGCCATCAAATTAGTGTGTGTGATTGTGTGCTCTCATAATGAGAATCAACAGAAAGCCAAGGCTCGGCGGTCTCTCTGAAAGACCCCCACCACCACCCCCCCCCTACCGACCCCCTTACCCACCGTTTCCTCCGAGCGCAGGATTTTATTTTCATTTGAAAAGACCCATTTAAAAATGACCTTTTTATACAACCTGCATTTGTTTATTCATGCGCCCTCAAACACGGGCATAGGATGAGGGGGCAATATTGATTGCTGAATGACTCGAAAGTGGGAGAGGGGCAGAGAGTGGATACCCTAAAAAATTGAGAAAAGCGGAAGGGGCCTGATGTCGCACTTGTGGAAGACAAAAAAAAAATAATAATAATGGCGCAATCTCCGTCGGGACCGATATTCAAATGAGCATCCAATTACTGAAGCGGGCCATGCGTTTACAGCGAGGTACACGGGTGCCACATTAAAACTCTTTTGATGTTACATCTTTTTATGTACACAACCTATGAGCCATTTCTAAAGGGGGGGGCAGGGGGGCTGTGCGGTGACAATGACGCACAATCATTTTCTTCACACTCCTCTTCTTCCTTTTCCCATCTCGGACGTCTCAATGGCGAGAATTCATTAGGGGAGCTGCGGAAAGATGGGGGGGAAAAAAGTTGGATGCGGGTGGTACAAATTACTGATAATGGCACGGCGCTAATGAAGAGAATGGAGAAATGTCATTAGCATTTAAGAGGATAAGATCCATCTGACCCGCCGCCGCCGCCGCCAGTCGCTTTCTAGCTCCACTCACTTAAAGAAGCAGGAGAGTGCGGCTGATACCCAGTGCCTCATTTGCATGGCTGAGTGGAAGCGGATGCTGATTGGTATAAATCCCCCCCCATACCCCCTACCCCCCCGCCCCTTTACTTCTCTCCATCTACGCCACCTCTAATGCTCCCCAACCTTGAAACCTCTTGTTTATGCATCCCAAACAACGCGCGCATGTCCATTCAAGTCAAGCTGCATGGCGACAGGCGCAAACAAACAAACAAAAAAGAAATCAAGGAGCAACGGACACAAACAGCGGCGCGGTTTGAAAACGTGAAAGATGGGCGCGCATGAAAGGCAAGGAAGCTCTTGATCGCCACACGTGCGCCCGGGCAGCGATTAGAGAACGCGACCACACCTACCGTCGCCTCTGACCTGCGGCCTTTAGCACTAATGATATCAGAGAAATAGACGCGCATTGTGCTGCCGACCACAGGCTTTGGAAACAAGAGGCCCACTCATCCTGTAAAGGCACAGGTGTCAAACTCGAGGCCCACGAAAGCTTGCCGCACTTTTTTGGGTTTGTTTTGTTTTCTAAACCAGCTGTAGAAATGTCAACAACCAAATTCAGGGGCAATTATGTGCTGTCATATGATGGGACACACATTGGGCCTTTCCGCATGTAATTTCCATCTGGAACCAAAGCTATTTTTAAAGCATAATCATTCCGTTTAGGGCAAAAGGGCAGTTAAGTAACATGATGGGGCAAAAAAAAGTGTAACTACCCCAAGCTCTAGCGACACACTAGAGTCAGGAGACAAACACAGTGCAGCTCTGCTTCTGGCCACGACTTTCATCTGCATTTAAACAACCGCTCACGGACGCCTATTAAATAATGATTTAATATAAATGTAGAGTAAAATATATTTATATCATATAAAATATTTTTATAATATAAATTATATGAATATTTATTCATGTTGATTTTGAGCTTGACATGATGAAATGTTTAAAGCACTGCTGGAGATGCTTTGAGTGAATGCTTTACTTCACAAGGACCACTAGGTGTCCCCAGTCCTGCTTTTGTTGCCTTTTTTTTTTTTTTTTTTTTTTGCCTTTGGGAGCCCAAACAGTTGTAGTTACAGTAACAGAGGGTGAGCACCAAATATTTTCTTCCTTTTTGTCAACATTAAAATCATATAGTTTTCAGTTTGAACGCACAACATTGTCAATGCGTTACACACCGAGCAGAAATTGAGAAAATGTACGCAGAGGAGTTGTCAGTCACCGTTCTCTCACCTGAAACTCGTCAAAACACAGGAGGCAGGTTTCACGGGAGATCTCCACGGCAACCGGTGAGATGGGGTCATAGGTGAACATGTTGCCCAGCTTTCGTCTCGGCAGGCTTCGTTTCCTCCGGTGGATCCCTTTGAAGCGGCGCACAGAAACTGTCACGCGTTTCTTCAAAACCACACCTGCATGGCCAACCTCGCGCCGAGCGACAACATCACAATGGCGGACAATTAGCGGTGGAGACAAACATGGAGGTAAGTGTCGCATATCAAGCGTTTAAGGGGCGGGGGGGGGACTTTTACTGTGTTAAGTGAAGTCAATGAAGTGAAGAAGTTAAGCGCTAACTTTTGTGGATATCCAGCATGAAGCCGTTGAAGTGGACTCTCTTTTTCTGGTTGTTTTGCAGCCCGCCGTAAAACATATCCATGAGCATGGTCTTCCCGGTGCCTGATTGGAGGAGACACAAAGACTCTTGGCATTGTTTTTTTGCCCAGACAATAAGCTGCAGATTGTACAGGAGACATCTCATCAGGTACCTTCGGAAAATAAGTTCATTGCTGTGCACCGACGTGCTTTCTGATTCACGATTGTTGCAAAGGAGTGAATGTCTGCGACGTTCGTTACCTTTCGGCCATGTACAGTATGTTAAGAATTGATCGCTCATTTGATCACATCACATATCTATATGACAGTACCTGCATGTGTTCTTACCAACATCTCCATAAATATAGAAGCCTTTAGGCGGGGGAGGAGGAACATCTTCATCCTATATGTTTGGGGGGGGGGG